TGCTTTGGGTGATGCTACCCAGCGGTATCATCCTGGCTGCCTTTCCAGGGCAAGACGCCCACAGATCAGCACAAATCTCAGCTCTTCACGAGTACTGGAGCACAAAACCAACCTGTCTGTGAAAAATCACCTGTCCGGCAGAAACAGCGCCCTTTCTCTGCCATCCCGCCAGCTGCGAACCGAACCTTCGCTGGGAGGCGGTTTCACCCAGTGTCAGGGTCTTACCTGTCTTCACCAGCTCAGCGAGGAGGCTGCTCCACTCAGCCCGGAAAGTGTCAGCTCCGGTGAGGCTGCCATCACCGCCAATGACGCAGAGGTTGGTGATGCCACGTTTCACCAGGTTGCGGGCAGCTTGCAGGCGGCCCTCACGCGTCCGGAAATCTTGGCACCGGGCACTGCCAATGACTGTGCCACCCTGGCAGAGCCGAGAACGTGATCCCTCAGTGCCCCGGAGTCCTCACGGACATTTTTTGCCCGTGGGATGCATCTCCCAGAGTTGCCCCTGTTGTAACCCACACCCTGACATTATGTTCAGGGTGAGATCACCCCATTTGGGGGGTTTTGAGCCCTGTATCTCCCTTTGTGGCGATGCTCTGCAGCCAGGCGGGTCCAGCCATGGCTTGTTTGCAAAATGCCAGCACATCGGCTCCAGTTTCGTGTTATTTTCAGGCATAGACCTTCACTCCGGCCCCAGCGCCATGGCGTCTGGTTACGTGCCGGCTCCGGCCAACGAAAAGGTCAAGACGTTGCAGCTGTGGCCCCCCTCCCCAGCAGCATCGTGACCTTCCCTTCACAGGGTTTTATCCCTGTGTCGAGCTGCCCGTTGTGTGGCAGTGCCGCCTGCCTCACCAGCTGCAGCATCATGGAAACGCTCTCCCACGTGGCCTCCTTGATGTTGTCTCCTCCATCCACCAGCCCCTGGTAGCCCTAGGATCAAAGTGGAGGTTGAGCCCTGCCTGGTCCTGGGACAGGCAAATTGGGCTGCAATTTCTGCCGTGACCCCTCCACGTGCAGCCAGCACCGAGGATGCACTTGCAGCCAGGCTTTGGGGACACTCGTGGAGCTGGAGCTGGGGGCCGAGGCGGGTACCGACCTCATGCACAAAGTAGACCTTGGCGCCCAGGTAGATGCCGACCCGCACCACGGCCCGGACGGCCGCATTCATGCCTGCAAAGGGAAGCAAAGCGTCAGCGCCCCGCACACGAGAAACCCACCGTGGCACGGTGGACGCGAAGCTTGCCGGTGTTTTGGCCTCAGTTTAAAGCAGCTGCAAACCTCGGTGGGCAGAAGGTCCTCACCCCCTGCTCTCGGTGCATCCCAGACTCCAGCCGCATCAGCCCAAAGCGGGGCTTCCCGCACACCATACTCCAGAGAGCTGCAGCCGGATCCCCACTCCGAGAGATACAGAAGCTGTTCCCGGCTCTCTCAGGAGTGGGGATGGCAGCATCGGCCCCAAGTGCCAGCATCGAGCGGCACGGGGCAGCCTCAGCTTCCCCCTTCCCCAGCTCTGAGCCACGGCGCCAGCCCCTTGGACAAACAGTTTATTTTTGCCCTGCTGACATTTAGCAGCCGTAAATAGCTTCGCCTGGGGCTGTCTGTAACCTGAGCCGGCTGCGCTCCCAGAAAAGCTACCGCGCTCAGGTGACACCTCCCCAACAGGCGACGGACACAACTTGTGTCATGCCAGCCCGGCACTATCAGCGAGCCGGCACGAGCGAGGTGCCAGGAGACGAAGCAAAGCAGATACCCGGCAGGTCCGAGCAAAGCTCCCAGCAGGGCAGACCCAAAAGTTTCATCCGGAAACGCTCCCTTGCAACATTTGCTTTAATACCCTGGTGCGGTTAAGCAGGGCCAGTGGAGCTCATGTGCTTTTTGACTTTTTCCAGGCAGCCTGGACATCCCTCTCCTCCTCTCTCCCTGTGCCTCCCGATTTTATTTCCTCTTCCTTAGCGAAAAAGGCAAACGAAGCCAGGGCTCCTTCCCAGCCTTCGAGGGTGGGGAAATTCCCCTTAATTCTGCCCCTCAGGAGGGCCCATGCTGACCCCTGCCTGCCTGTAACACAGCCACTCCGCACTGCTTCTCCTGGCATTT